TCTACCTGATGCTTGGGCACAGTTGGAAACTGCTTTACAAGAGTGTTGTCTTTCATGTTGAACACCTTGACATACTTGCTTCCCTCTTCCAACACAAGCAAGCGTTGCTCAGGATTGTGGATGGCTGCAACTGCCACTGGACCTGTGGGTAAAGAAGAACTCAAATGTAACAGACATTGTATGCACAGTATATAAATGCACTGTCACTATTCTCAGTCCCCATGAAATATACCTTTGATAACCTACCTATAATAATGAATACATGGCGTGCTTTATAGCCTGTTCATGTAGAATGAATAGGCCTACATGAACATTGTGCAGTCTTCAGCCACCATACCGGTACATGTATAATTGTGAATAACTGCAACGTCTTGGAGATACAGTTATGCAAAGTCTTTTATAAAGTTGTACGTGCACTCTCTGTGCTATTCTCATTGTACAAACATCAAAATAGATTAGTCTTATATTTAATAGTGTTGCTTTTTTTTTTAGAAATAAAAAGGTTGCTCAGTTTTCAAATGGAGCATTGAACAACATAGACCCCATTTTTAGACATCAAATAATTTTAAACTGTATAATAACAACTTGGTTCTTGCAAACTTTAAGACACCTTTCACAAAATGTTCCAAGATTGTTGCTTACATCATAAACTAACAACTGAAAAAAATGAAACTTGAAGCATATTTTTTTTCGTAATTCAAGGTCAAAGGTCATTTCCTAATGCATTTTCTCTGTGCTTCACGGTATGATTTTGGTTTTATTTTATGAAATGGAGGCCATTCAAAAAGCTTTAATATGATGTACAATTTGGCTTTATATTTGCTATAGTTTGGGAGATACAAGTATTGAAAGTTTGGAGGTCATGCTAATTAGTCAAAAGTTCGTTGACCGTATCTCATAATTTATCAAGCCAAGCTACAAAAAAAAAATCAGTTCTGGAGGTTTCTCATACAGGCCAATCATCACACCAAATATCATTAAAATCTGTGAGGGTCGGGTCTAAAATCGTGTTGAATTGACACAGAATGACACATTTTTGAGAGTCAAAATTTTGACCCCCAAACTTTGCTCTTGCAGAAAATAACACAAATTGGCAATTTGTCAAGATGGTTGTGTAGACGTTTATATCCTACTTTTAAATGCTCTTTGTAGCCCTATTGGGTGCTTTCCAGGATGTAGTGTCCATTTAAATCACTTGTAATTTGATATGGTGGTGACATTGTATGATGTCACCATTTTTGTCATGTTTGCATGTTTGTACAAAGATTTTCTTTTTTTTGCGTAAATCCATTTTTTTAAATTCATGCTGCTTTGCTTTTAGTATTTTGAATTCACCTAACTTTAATTTGACCGTCAACCCCAGAAGGTCAAGCAACTTCATGTGTACACAGGACAAAAAAAATGGTTCATCAACGTAATCAGGCCTAGAACATTCTACTCACAGGGCAGATTGGTTCGTTTGCAAAACAGCCTAAAAGCAAATTTGCTATTTTCTAAATGTTACAGACCCCCAAAATAACAATTCTTCTATATTATACCAACTGAAATCAGTAATGAAATAAATATAAGTTCTGTTGTAGTTTTGTTTTATTTTTTGTGTCTGTGTGTCTGTTTTAATTGTTTGTAATTTTTTTTTTTTTTTTACATAGCCCTACATGTAACAAAACAAAACAATGGAACATTTGTCGGGAGAACAAAACCTAATTTGTTGGATATCACTGCCAGCACATGAATTCATTGCCAGTATGTTATTGGTTTTCGTTCTCAGTTGTCTAATCTGCATTTGCACATGGAAGACTTTAATACTTATAAGTTCCGCACGATTATGAAAGTTTGTGTTGATGAACATGTGCATAATAGAAACTTACGTTGTAGGGGAATGGTTCCTTTGTGTTGTCCCTCATTGCTGCAGATGACCACTCGGTTGTTCCACCAGTCTGCCACAGCAATCTCACCAGGTTGAGTAGCAGTAATACCTCGACCAAAACCAAACTGTCCTGGACCATTTCCCTGTGTACCAAACTCACAACACTTCTCCCACTTGCCTTTGACTGCCAGCTTGCCCAGATTGATGTCACCAATCCTCTGATCCGGGGTGAAGCTCAGATATGAAAGCTTGGGATCAATCTGGGGAGGATTTTGACTCTTGAGTGATTTCAAGTCTTTGCTGATGATAGGGTATAGGGACAAAAAGTCACTGTCTGATGCAGTGTTAATGATATCCTGGGGTGTCCCCAGCGATTGTTTTTTACTTTCAAGCATCAGTGTCAGTGTTGACTGATGCTCATCATATGTTCTGTTGCGATCCTGCTGGAGTTGTTTGATTTCTTCAATCATCTTTGTCTCTTGAGTTGTTATCTCAGCTCTCATTTTATCCGCTTTGTTTTTCACAGCTTTCACAGTCTTTGTGACGTTCTGTGTGAACTTTTGCTTAGCTTGTGATGAAGTGGCCAAAGCCTTTTGAAGTATTTTGATGCCGGTGGTGACATTTGGCAACATATCTTTCAGTGACTGTTTGTATTTGCGAGAAGCCTCTCTAGAGTCAATGTAGTGATGTTTTGGTTCACGGTGGTCTACTACAGTACAAGCTCGGCAGATTAACTCTTCACATGTCTCACAATAAAACCATTTCAATTCCCCCCTGTGTTTCTGGCATTTAGACTCATCTTCTTCTGGTGTTTTTTTCACTGAACTAGCCACCTGTGCTTGGAGTGAGACCTCCTCAACTATTCCCATCAAATGGAAATTTGTTTTCAGTCCTTCAATGCATGTCTCTGGAAGTACTGTCTCCCGTCGACATACAGGGCAAGGAATTGTTTGCTGACCTGCATACCTGCTAGTGTAGTATTGCTCCAAACATTTCTGGCAGAAACTGTGCATGCAATCCAGCACCTTGGGCTGTTTATATTTGTCTGCACAGATGATGCATTCAAGATGGGGACCGATGTTTTTTAGAGCTGTAGCCATTTTATCTGTATACAAATAAGGGAATAACAGTGTGAGGAGCCGGTCTTCACTGCGTGATAATGACCAGGTGTGGGGGTGACCGCTGTTAATGGACCGAGACGAAGTCGAGGTCCATTAACTGCGGCCACCCCCACACCCGGTCATTATCACGCAGTGAAGACCAGATCCTCACACTGTTATTCCCATTAATAGATACCTTTATAACGAAATAAACAGTTAATATGCTCCAATTTTGTGACTTTTTTTCCGGCGATATTTCCAGACTTTTTTGTGTTCATGTTCATGGGCCATGTTTTAGCTTAACAGTTATAACGACGTAAACTCAACAGAAACTGCTGCCGTAGCGAAACAAATTACAACAATGTTTTCATATCTTTACCTGATGGAGGAAGCTGAAATCTTGTTTACACATTCCTTGTGTCCGGAATCACAAAGATGCTTGGTTTAGGAAAGGTAAATATGTCGGTGGGTGAAGTGTTTTAAAGAAAATAAATCGTAGATCTACGTTTTCGTCATAAACGTCCTCAGTATATACTGCACTGCTGTACGATGTCGTTTCAAAACTTCCTTAGTACGCGCGCGCACGCACGCATCCCTAGCAACTGTGTTGCGTACGCACGCGTCAGTCTCACGCGATGGGGGTTGAGCGCATGTGCAGTGCTCAATTGTTGAAAGCTACCGCAGGACTGTTACTATATTTTGACCAATCATTGGCTTGCATGGGGCTGAACGGGGCTTGATCAATGCTGGTTCAGGGGCCATTTATTCGCTTGATCTTTGAAGCCGGTCCATTATCACCGTTAATGACCGGCCACGAGATCGAGTCTCGACCAATCAGAAACCATCAACTCTCCAAGGTATTTATTAATAGTATTTAAAAAGAAATTGAAATGGTTATAATACAGAGATGTAACTTCTTTAATACTGCACTGTCTGTGTGGGTTTCATCCGGGCGAAAAAAACAAATTTGATTTTGATCCACTTTCGAACAAGACATCAATTTTTGTGTGTGAGAATTTCCTGTCAAATGACTTGTACCGGTAAGCTAGCATTTAACCTCATTCAAAATAACTGACACTCTTTTCTTACCTTCTTTGAATTTCAACCAAATCACTTGAATACAAATCTTTCCAATTTGACACAGAGAGCACAAACAGTTGAGGCTTTTGATGGGGCGGATCTGGTAAAGATGGCGCTGGACAAACACAGCATCGTCATCAAGTCACGTGACATGGTTTATATATAGAGCTTGGGATTTTTGTTTTGCTGCATACATGTACATGTACGTCACACACGTACAATCTGTATATCGGTTTATCTGTGTACATATTTACTTGACACTTGAGTTTTGGACCTTAGACAGGTTCATGCATTCTATCTACATGTACATGCTGCACTTTGTTAAATTGCAATCGCATGCACCTCACCATACATTTAATCCCACCAGGGTTTTTTTTAACCATCAAATAAAAAAGTTACAAAAATATTTATTCCTCAAATCTTTCATAATTCACACACTAAAATTTCTTTTATCTTGTGCTATAAATACTGATAAAGAATTTTCAGTCTATTTGAAGTTATCATTTTGACCAACCTTGTTTTCTTTTCTATTGGCCCCTGGTTCGATTCCTTTTTATTTTAAGGTGTGACCTCAGTTATCCTTGAAGGAATTGAGGAGTCTTTGGTTCAGATCCTACTGCTTGCTTTCTTTTCTATTGACCCCTGGTTCGATTCCTGTTTATTCCCAGGTATGACCTCAGTTATCCTTGAAGGAATTGAGGAGTCTTTGGTTGAGATCCTACTGCTTGTTTTCTTTTCTATCGACCCCTGGTTCGATTCCTGTTTATTCCCAGGTGTGACCTCAGTTATCCTTAAAGGAATTGAGGAGTCTTTGGTTCAGATCCTACTGCTTGTTTTCTTTTCTATTGACCCTGATTCGATTCCTGTTTATTCCCAGGTGTGACCTCGGTTATCCTTGAAGGGATTTAGAAGCCAAATCACTGAGAGCCAATTTGTGAGAAATTGTTCCACTTTGATTCAACGAGTCACGTGTGAATAGTCGCAACCTTTAGAGGGGGCGGATCCCAGATCTGAGTCATGTACAGTTCATTATCTTGTTTGTTTGCTGACATGTTTACTCTACACTTGAGTTTGTATCTTGGACCTGAGTTAGGTTAATTTTTGACTTGCATACGTGTACATGTACACGTACACCATCAGGTTGCAGACTACTTAAATAAACTGCCATAGACCCCAGTGATAGATACCCCCACTTCCAAAATTCAGGGTAAAATACTCACAACTCTCCAAGGAGTTAAAGACACGTCAAATTAAATCTGATTTCGTCATCTTTCATTTTGTGCTCAATTTTGTTGTGGTAATCCAATGTCTTTTGTGAGAAATGTCCATCCAAAGATGAGCACCCCTAAAATTTAGTTCCGGAAACCTTTCGCCATTTTGAAAACTGATGCCTATGCTGCATTGCAAAATAGAGCAATTAGGGCTTAATTCATCTAAATTCCACAGAAATACGAGCTGGCAATCCTGTTCACGGCTTCCACCTTTCTTCTCTTTTTTTTTTTTACAAACCTTCAATTTCATGGCCCACAAAATGATAGCAAAAAATGAGGGCGTACAAATCGTGATTTGGCAGGCATAGGCAATTTTGGGCCTATTTACTGGCCTGCAACCATCAGTGTCCATACATATGTGCATTGTACAAGTATGTCATTCCAAACTTGTTTTAAGAAACTATTGATAATTGGTTTTGAAAGTGCTTTCATTTGGAAAATGCAAAGAGTGCGAACAGTGGTAAGCTTTTGAGGGGGCGGATCCCAGAGAGATGGCACTGGCAAACACAGAATCATCATCAAGTAACATGACATGGTTTATACATGTATATAGAGCTTGGGGAGTTTGGGGGACAAGTGCTGGATGCAACAGACATGTACAGTTCATTATCGTGTTTGTTTGCTGACATGTTTACTCTACACTTGAGTTTGCATCTTGGACCTGAGATAAGTTGTTTGGTCTTTTCATATTTGGTGAAATAATCTCTTACAGTTGTATACTCTTTGTACTCTTTTGATTCAAAACTGGAAAAGTTTCAATGCCCAAAACCCCAAATTATACATGCATTGAGTATTTACCTTAAAAGAAACTGACTCTATTACATTTTTCCAAACACACATACTCTGTGTATTACTTTTAGACAAACTAATGCCACCGAGTTCAGAACTTTTTTTGCTCTTTGCATAATATTGAGTCAAGTGTAAATGAAGACCAATGTGCAAGTGAACATGTTACAAGTTACATCTACACCCCTACACCCCCCCCTATTGCTCACAGTAAGAAGTAACACTCCTTCCAAAAAGCCATCTGATTTCACATTGGTCACGTTATCACAATCAGATATTGGAACATTTCAGCAAATGTTGATGATAGGATCGAGGGAAAGGCAGTCACTGTCTGATGCAGTATTTGTAGAGAGAGTGCAATTTGAGTTGAATCAATTATTCAATATTATTATTAGACAGTCACTTCACTTGGTGTATCTGCAAACCTTATACTCACAACTACGCAACACCTTAAAAATTACAAAAGCCTACCAAATTATGAAAAACAGTCTATCATTAATGGCATACATTACATGTATGGTTCCCATTAATTTTGAGTTTTTATCATTTCAATTTCATTTCGAGCAGCTCACTCATCTCGTGGAGCCTTGCTTTGTTCATCAACTGCCACGCCCGGTCTGGTCACCATGGCAACTGAACAGCCTCAGGCCCCGCCTCCAGCAGCCATTAGCTGAGATCGTCGCTTATTAATTCCAATCAGCAATGAGCGTAGTCGAGGGCAACGCAAGACACCTGTCAGCTTTGTTGTTGTACCTGTCAGTGATCTGGGTTACCCTGTTGGTTCACCAGGGAGTAGCATCTGGGCTTATACACCAGGTAAGCTCAGTTTTCATTTACCACACACTTTCATTAGATGCATGAAAACTGACTATATCTGGAGCATCAAGGTAATAGAAGTGTGAAATATTCTCCTATCTTTTTGGCTTGGTACTTAATGATCCGTATTGAGGAACTTAGCTAAAAGATCCTTAGTGACTAAAAAATGCTGTAAAAATCAACTCAGAAGGATACGATAACATTTAAATTCAGTCCATGAAAATATATTTTACAAATAGACAACTGTGATTTCTAAACCCAATGGACTTACAGGACATGCAGATTAGCAAAATATTAGGTGTCATCCATTCAAGAGAATATTTTCCTATAAATGGCAGATTTTTAATAAAGTCCTTGTTTTTTCTGAATTTTTTCCCTAGGGAGCAGCGGTGACTGGATCCCAAGTAGCAACTTAGAGGACATACCAGGCACAGCAGCTAACAGGATGCCTAACTTCCCCCATCAAGACACTGTCAAGAGAGGATGGCTTCCAAATGAACAAGTAAGCATCTCACCCCTCCACCACCCCACTACACTCAATCAGCATGAGTTCAGGACTTGAAAACAGTTTACAACAACACAAGACAATTAAAGTTGGTTCCAGAGTACACACAGTCCTATTCAATTGATGTAGCCCATTCATTGGTGTTACAGGGTAATCCTATACAACAGCACTGCCCATCAGCTCACAAGTGACAGTGAGTAGATCCGTGAGGTACAAAGAGGACTGTAGGCTGGCCCTCTGGGACCAGCACAAACTGAACAGCGATCATTGAGAAAATCAAATAGAGAAATCAAAACCTCATCAAGATGTACCTTGTGTATCTCAAGACATTACTGAAATGTCATCATGCTTGCGAGCTCTAACTTTATTCCCCTGGTTATTTCCTACAGACACCTGTCAGCCGGTTTGGTGAGCAACATGAGCCAATGTCTGGCATGCATCATAACATGGCCATGGGAGATGGGGGAGGGGTGACAGCTCATGGAATGGCAGGAACGGTCTGGAACCCTGTAGCCACCATGCAACTTCATGGCACCAATCCAAAGGTGGGTCCTGTCTCAAAGCTTAAGTCCGTGTCAATATTATCAGGCTATATATGTGAGGCATTCTGGCAAAGTGAGAGGGAACTGGGCACAGGCCGTAGTGGAGGGAAAATGCAAGAAATTTTTTTATTTTTTTTTGGATTTTCAGATTTATTGATATTTATTTATATAAGTAAGTAAAACATGAGTCTAAATATCATAATACAAGATAATTGGCATCTTTCATTTTCACGAATACAAAACTCGAAACTTTACAGGCCTTTTTCTTAGTATTTTGTTTTTTGACATGTCGATAAATGCAAACTTTAAAGTGAGCCATACACTGTAACTTGTAAGGGAAAGTCTGATTGAAGTGCAACAAACAGTATTGTAAGGAGAAGTTTATTCTCTTTCCTAATACCTGCGAACCCTCATTTCAACCTCTGCCCAGTTCTGTCTCATTTTGCCAGAACGTATACATATATGGTCGTCAGTAACACGTGTCTATCGGCCGCTTTCATATCGGCGCATTATTGCTAGCTGCAGCAATTGGGAGACAGTCTGAAAATCTGTCCTTATTTATGAACATAATTTCCTTGAATATTTACTGCAAAATCCTTCCTCAGGCCTGGTTCAGTGTATTCCTGATGTAGTGAATGCCCAATCTTTGAAGTTGTTAAAGGTCTAAAGTGGCTGCTCAGAAAACTAAAATATTTCCAGAGAAGCAGAAGTGTTAAGGCGTGTTAATTTTGAAACAAAGAATTAAATATTCCCATAAATACTCTTTTGCAGGGAGGGGCCCTAATAAAGTTTGTTGACACGAACTACACGTTCTAAAATAAAATTTGCACAACAGCATTGCATGTAGTTGGGATCAACTACCCTCAGTCACCCATCAAAACAATCCGCATTTTTTGACTTTTAAGGTTTTTTAATTTAAATTTGATAAATTTATTAAATTTGCAATTTTGTCTTCTATTTTCCCAGGTTTGGGGAGCATCACGGAGCCAGTCAGTCATGTGACATGAGAACACCTCTCCATCCATTCCTATAGAGGGCGCTGTTCGTCACAGCTGCAGCATCCACAAGAGATAGTTAAGTTAATTAATTTTTCTTAGATGGTCAACAGCCATAGAGGGCGCCATGATGCTATCTGGTTTGTTCACAGACATATAAACACATAGACCGCCAGTCGTACGCGTGAAACCGTGATTTAATAATTGAGCAAAATGTTTGTTGACAGCGCGCATAACTGCGATGCCACTCAATGCGCCAACGCGCTTAGTACAGTACATACATTTAAATACAGTTCATAAATTATTTTGGTAAAGGCTGTATTACTCAAAAGTTGCTTGAAAATGTTGGGTACTGTATTGTTTTTTAATCTACGGAAATCATATTTAGTTCACAAGGGATTGGTTTACAATCAAAAACTTTACAATTTTTTTTTTACATGTTTGACTGGAATTCGTCAACTGTGTGTAAAAACCCTATATACCGAGAGGTGAATTTGCCCATAGTTTTGATTTTAGTCGGGCGCTAGGCAAATCACGAAATGCTCATGTAGTTTTGAATAGGACCTGGCGGTCTATGCAGTTATGTCTGTGGGTTTGTTGCCTTACCAACCAAAAAATTTGCTGACAGCATAATTCAGAGAAAAAGAATGAAAATGAAATAATTAGGCCTTGGAATAAAAAAAATTGTATGAATTCTGTGGAATTGAAGATGATTGTAAACTGCGAGTAGTTTGTATTTAACTTTATTTATGTTAGGCCAAAAAAAAAAATAGTCGGTCTCTGGTCAGTGCGCGCGTCGATTTTAATCATGCGCATCAATCTTTTTTATTTCCAAAATGTTCCGCGGTAGCTCCAACAGCACCCTCTATTGCCGCACCTCCTCAAATGTTTTTACCAAAGAGCATCAAGGAATGGGAAATTGCACCAAGGCAAATAATCGAGGGCATCAAGGCAAATTATGCAGGACACCAATGTACATGAGGACACCAAAAAAAGTACCCCACCTTGTCTGTATAATCAAAGCTTGAAAAAAACAAACAAACAAAGCTGCGTCGCCGCATCAATTCCAGAACTTTGGTCTGACAAGAGACTGAGTATTGTTTTTTTTGGCCTTACTGTAAAGCAATTGAAAAATCCTTTGCTTCTTTGTTGGCTGAATGTTGTATGTAAAAAAGATGATAGGCTACTAATGTTAAATTTGAAGTTAATTGAAACCAATCTTGGAAACTGTCAGTTGAAGAGATGTTTTGTTGACAAGTACATGTCAACATTAAAGCTCAGTGAACCTGGGTGACCTTTGACCTCTGTTGTCTCAATAGTAGTTTATCAGTTAAAATGTCCATTCCATAGAGCTGTAGTAAATTATGAGAGCGTTTACTCCTCATTCCCTTGCACACTTCAAAGTTGTCTGAGCTCAACACAGTGCTTGAAGAATGTACATGTAGCGAGATCAATGTGCAAGTCACGTCGCCAATATGACATCAATTCTTTTGAGTTTTGTGCGCTTAATGTGTTGCCAAAATGTTACAGATACATGGCTGAGCAGGCACGTGATCTACAGTGAAAAGCAATTCCCAAATCGGTTCGGTGCACTAGTGTGAAAGCACAGACTGAATAATGAAAGTTGTACTAACAGCTTTGAAATGTATCAACATCAAACATTTTGAGCTAATTCCCTTTGAGTTATGCACAAACATGGATGCATGCGCCCAGCAAGCTTCATCCTATTCATATATGAATAAGCTCTCTAATAATTTACTATAGCTCTATGGCCTGATTAAGTGCACATGTGCAGATACAAATCTAGAATAACAGGGAGTGTGTAACAATTCCAATAGTTTTTGTTGCAACAATAAAACAAACACAATGGAGTGTGTTCAGTGGAAAAAGTACCATCAGAAAAATGCAAGTCAATTGAAATTTTGTTTGTTGGTTGGTTGTGATGACGAGGCCCGGATTCTCCAATAGATCTCTCTCATAGGACGCCATCTTTGTAGGAAAATTACAACTGCGTGTTCAACACCATGTGCGCATAGTTTGCAAAATGTTCTAAACATGCGCTCCTGTTGCTTGGAATGTCTCCAAAATACGGCGCAGCCGATGCGCGTCACGAAGATTTGAAAATTTGACGTCTTAAAAAGCCCAAATTTGAAGAGGAATTGTCAAATTTAATATTGTAGAGTGTGTTAATTCAGCAGGAAACAAGTAAAATGCGAATTAAATCAACCATTAAGGCAAAGTAAAAAAAAAAAGTTTCTCGTCTCCGCCTGCTTCCTTTTTGGAGGCCGCCTGGATTTTTTTATTATTTTTTATTTTTGAAAAAGAAAAGTGCAGTCAAAAAACACGGAAAAAGTCCACAAATTCATCGGAAAATAAATTGTAGACAACACAAGTCTAAATGACACTATAAAATATGTTCATTTCTCTTGTCCAACTTATCTGTCATTTTAAAAGTGTCTTTGAACAGTGAAAACACCAACAGTTGCAGGAAATTTTAATATGGCGGCCATCTTGAAACAAACAAACAAATTAAAAGCCCCGCTTCCTCCTTTTTAAAAAAAAACCAGACGAGAAACATGTTTTTTTTTCCTCGACCTAATGAAACAGCACATTCTCGTTGTCTGGAGGATATCATGAGAAATGCCCATTGTATTAAAGTGAAATTTCCTCCGTTATAAACTCACCATGACGTTTTTGTGAAGCCTGAAAAATTTTAACAGGAATATCAAACAATACAGTTAATGTAACTAAAACAAAATGTTTCTAGCGAGAAAATGGCAATGCAAAATAATGCAAAAAAAAGTCCCAAAAAACCCCACACACTGGTTTTTGAGACGATGTCTATTTAATTTCAACAGCAAATTAATTCAATTAATATAACAAAAACAACGAAGTGTGTTCTGCGTGAAAATTTAAATCGGAATGAAAAATATTCATAATACGCAACAAGAACAACACATTTGTGTGGACGACAATTCTGGAAATATATGCTGAGCTTAATTAAAAATGTGTCCATCGATTGTTCATAAAGTAAAGTCTTCAATTAAGAACTCCATAAAATTTCAAGAGGAGTCGTGTAACAATTAAAAAATGATTAAACATTTAGAAAAGTACTAATGTAAAATATAATCAAAGCCGTAGAAACTTTGCATTATACTGTTGCACTGAGAAACAAATCTAAGATTTGCAAACATTTAGGCATACCTCTAAAAATTAAGTGTAAAAATTACTCCTGTTTAAAAATCCTGAAATTTTCACCGGCACCAGACTATCATGTGACCTCTAAACACCTTAACAAGAGAGGGCGATAAGCCATACAAAATCATTGAAGCATGAAAACCCATTTTGACAGCACGCTACACGGTCAAGTGAGGAAGGCCCTTCAACCAGGTTGTATCGAGACCCTCAGGCTAAGAAGTCTACCTCCACCTCACACACCACTGGTAACCTCAGGCTACGAAGTCTACCTCCACCTCACACACATCTGGTAACCAGCATTCCATCAGTCATATGTGGTCTCTAGCAGGCTTCAACAAGTTCAGCAATCTCAAAAAAGGAAAAGGCTAACTACCAGTCTGACTGATGATTGGCTGCAAAGACAGATCTGAACTTACAGGACAGGGCAGGGCTTCAGAAAAGAAGTCTGAATATTCAGTCCAAACTTTTGTCCAACTAATAAGAGGAAATTATATTCCCAAATCTAAGTCCAGCCAAATAAACTCTTAAGTCCAAAAATCCCCAAGACCCTTCCTAGTCCTATCAACTTGCAGACCTATCAGTCAGGAAGCCCTTCAACTAATAGTCCAGTTCCCTCTCAACCATCAACCAGTCAGCCCAAAGTCCCAAAGCCTACCCTCCAGCTCCAAACCCCTTCAGCTCCCAACTTCTCAACCTCCCAGCCTCAGACCCTCAGATCTGAAAAAATTTCAAGGGGTACCCCTTGATTTCTGAAATTCTGTCAAAAGCTGAAAAATTGTCCAAGTCCAACAACCTAAGGGTTTTAATTACGATAACCGGAGATTTTTTCAAGAAAGTGCCATGGCAGAGCGGAAAAGAAGAGAGCTGGCATGCAGAAGGTACGCGGTTCAACCCTGCTCCATGCTACTATTTTATATATTTTTAAAATTTTATCACTGCTGTGAGGAAAAATTCTCCTCCCGGGTCCCCGGCTGGGTTTTGAACCGGGGACCCGTCGCCTGGCGGTCAGCGAGCTAGACCGCCAGGCCACTGGCCTCTTCGAAAATTTGTTCTCGGAACTTATATTTAAAGGTTAGATTTCGCAATATAAAAAAAAGAAAAAAAATGGCCGCCTGGGCTCATTTGAATAATTGAATAATAAAAAGCAGAAAACTGAATATTCAGAAGGAAACCACAACAGACCCAAAATTCTGGTTCTCAATTTAGACATTTATTCCATATTCTTTCTATTGTTGCCCTTTATTTACACTTTTAACAAACCTATTTCACACTTTTTTAAAGTTAATATTACAGTTTTTAAACTTCACATACATGTATTTAACAAGAAACACAATTCTGTTTAATAAATGTAAACGTTAATTTACTTCCCTTGACAAGATTCTAAATTTGTCAATGCTCAATATTTTAAAAGCAAGTCCTACGTTAAATTTGTTCACTAATTTTATTCTTCGGGAGGGGAGGGGGGCGCACAAATTTGTTTTTAACTATAAAAGGCCAAACTTTTGTTTGAATGTGGAAATGGAGTTTTTAAATTTGGTAATCTTGATTTTACTTAAACTTGTCAGTGATTTTTGCCTCAAATCTTATACAACTATTTTTTGTTTTAACAATTTCCAAAAGAAAAACAATACCAGTTCCAATACAGTAACGCCTTATTTCAGGAATAATTGCTTGTACAACTAAATTTAAATAAGTTAAACATTGATTTACAAACATGTTACAGATAATATATGCATACTGCCTATAAGGAATTCATGGGCAATAGAGGGCGCTCCTCATTGAGACTAATTTTTATTTACCACAACTAGGGTGCACAACTATGTACAACATTTTTTAACTTTCTCTCATTGATATACAAACAAAAATCTCAATTTTAAATTTAAACAAATGATAACTACACAAATGAACAAAATACAATAATGCCAAGTAACTAATTGGGCAAAAGCAGAAAATCTACAGTTTTAGCAAGTATATGGGCAATTCCCTGGTGACAGACAGAGAGTTTCGGCAGGTTTCAAATTCGCATCAGTATCACGAATCAGAACAATTTTACGCGTGACGCCATCACTTCAATTCTTCTCGTACGCTAATCGATAAATGGGCATAGGTTTTAATTCAAATTTTTCTCTTAAAATGATAACCACCTTTCATTCTTAATTTTATGATGTACACGACATAATGTCTGATTGCAATTAGAAGCTAAAGAGTGAATTTTTCACAGTGAATTTGGAGCATTTTTGTGACTAGAAATTATGACCCGATTTTCTCAGATCAATAGGTATACACAGAGACGCCATGCGAAAAACTGGAATTTGAACACGCCATTATGTTTGCGTACACTAATCAGCCGCATCATATAAATTCCAATACGCATCATTTTTTTCGGGATGAAGTGTCTTTACATTTTTCAACCTGTAGACGCATTGATCTTTTCTGTCCTTCGCTTACAGAACTCTTTCTTTATTGTGACCGACATTACATAAAAAACAACACAGGAAACAAATGATAGATCAAATTTGAAATTTCTCTTCATGTTAAAGGCTCAATGATGTCATTTTATTTATCATATATGTCATAGCCAGTATAACAGTGTTTACATGTACAGAGATGTAAAATGAAAGTTTGTATTAATCATGATAATTGAGAAATGAGACAATGTGTATCAAAAACTTTCTGTTCATATTCAGGTTTATTTCTTTATAGTTTTCAACAGTGACTGTATGCAAAGACCAAAATAATTTTTCAATATCCAAACTCAGAGTGTTTTAGAATTTAAGAAAATACATAAAAACCTACGTGTATATACCATCAACACCTAAAAGTAAATTATTGCAAAGTGAACTGAATAAATATTTAAGTTGTCTCCAATAAAAAGTGTGTAAATAGACTTGCATAATTAATACATATTTCTTTATTACTAACAATTTGAGGTCTCAACGTGTTAAACAATATTAATAATATTAAAGTTGTGTGAATAAACTTGCATAATTAATACACATGCTAAACAAATTCCATGCTCAATTTTAACTGCTTGTTCTCATAGTTTTATTCCTGCTCACTTATGAAACTCCTCATGTTCTGTTCTTTTCTGTCTATTCCTCTTGTGGTCTTCATACAATCCTTTTCTTCCAAGTTTTGTTTCTGCTGTGTCTTTCTCTGTGCTGCTGTAAGTTGCAATTTGGCTGTACATCTTTCCTGAAAAATAGAAAATATTCAACAGAATTATCAATATTTTGTACATGTTTACATTAACACAATTTTACTTGATATTTTTCTAGCAATACCAAAGTTATCAAAGGAACCAACAACAAAACGAACAAAATAAGTTAGCCAATGTTTAGTAATAAACAGGGAATTATGAATATCAAACTATTTGGTGCCAATCAATAATTCAGTTCTCACAGGGAAGACTTCCCCCACCCCACCCCATCAGAATGGACAATGATAGACTACTTGTGCCCAAAAGCAAAACAAATATATTTTACATTTTATCAAAGGATTACAGATTTCCAAATAACATTTAAAAAAGACTTGTTTTGTGAAAAATATAGTCATATATGTTGCTCAGACAGTGGCTTGGCACTCAGTTGCATTTTGGTTCAAAGAGTTGACTATTTGTATGTGTATGGACTCAAATAACGTGTGTACTTGTATTTTCTTCAACTACGGACTGTGCAATAATGTGACTGGCATTACGTTACGCTAAGAGATTGTGACTGCATGACATTACATGTGGCCGACATTACAATATTTCATGGCTGGCCTAAGCATTAGAACTACAATGTAAACAAAATGCTAATATTCTTATCAGAACTCAAGCTAAGAAACTTTTAAACATAATTATTCATTAGGCAAAAAAATGTAGGTACATGTATGTACAAAGAAAAATGATCTGTTTTGGTTAATTATAAATAACTAAATTTGTATCTCATTTTACAAGCAAAGTCTGATGAAAATTAGCAACTTAAAAATAATATCCATTTTCACAAAGACACCCTAAAAAATGGTAACAAAATATTGAGAGAAAATATTACTGAATAGATAGCAAAAGACTATTAAAATTCAAAATTCCTTACCAGTGCATCCATAGGTCATCATGACGTCATTGCAGACTTTGATGTGATGGTGTACCGTAACTCACAAAATAGTGCGCGCATGGGACAAAACTATTTCAGTTTTAAAAACGCCAAGCTATATTGTGTCGCTTCAGCAAATCAAACTTGAGCAAATGGTTATTTAAAATTTTGGTCTTGTGTCTCCACCAGCATGGAATTGCCCATATAACTTTTTTTTCTCATTTAACAGCCTAGTACATTCTAAATAGGCCCAAGGCACCTTGGATGTAGTTTCTCTGTTGTTTGATGTCATCACAAAGTGGTGCAGTTTCAGGGCATTCCAGCATCAAGAGCAACGTCTTCTTGGTAAGAGCAGGAAAACCTGAAATTCAAGTTGAAAAAAATAAATAAAGGAAAATTGAATATAAATAGCATATACTTGTATACATGCAGTTTGTGATTACTATTTGCAGGCTTTTGTAGCTTTTGAGGCTGCACTGATTTGGAAGATCGTCTACATGTAGGGAGGAGTTTTGAAGATAGAATTTAGAATTTAAGCTTCTTTTGTGTACATACAGCAACATTTTAGTATGAATTTATTATCAACCCATAATTCACATAAAAATTGTTGCAAAAGCAAGTACATGAACTCAAGTATATTAAACAAGTTCTTAGCTTACAAATGTACCTAAGACACATGCATTCCTCTTCTTGTGGTTCTGATAACAGGCTTCCGATGACTTGCAAGAAGGACAAAGTCTCTCAGGTCCTGTCTTATCAAAGAATGTACAAGAAAAGCAATATAGATTAGTTATGGTGGCAAAAAATACTCGCTAGGGTGAAGACAGTGTTTGACTTCAGATGATTTTCTATCTGGAACAAATGACTGATTTTAAGAGGCAAGCGAAATTTTATACATGCAGCAAACAGAATGGAAAGTTACAGAGCAGTCTATGATTGATCTTTGTGTTCATGGAGCTGTCTAACGTGCTATAATAAAAAATATCCACAGGAGCCCCACCAGGGAATGTTAATGAATGAAATCATGTCATAGGCCAATTCACCTCACTGGAGTAATTACTCTTTCAGTGAATACAAGAGAAATTTTGATTGTCTGCAAAGGTTGTCATCAAAAGAAGCAGGTTATAGTAATGATCACCTGTCTTTAGGTTTAGGCAATTTCCTGATGACAGTCACAGATCACTGACTAAATCTTCAAATCTTCAGAGCCACTTCTCTTTTTAAAGACTGTCACTTCACTTGCTGTTCATATAGAACTTTTCCCCAGTGATTTCTAGCGTATTCAACATCACCTACCTAGGCAGAGTCAGCATCCAGGATCTCTAGTAGCTACCATTAAACATCAGCGTTGTTAACTTGAACGTTGCTCCTCCACCCCTAGCTACCGACTTCCTAAACGGGATGTGCTCTAGCGCCCATCGCATGGCAGATGGCAGAGAGGTTGGAGCAAAACTTCTTCACTGAAACATCCGTCTGTGGTGGCAAGACATTTGAGATGCAGTGGAAGACCAGGAGACTACTGGTGAAAGATGCTGGTCATCCCCTGGCTGTCAGCAACCTCCCTATGGATGCCACAGACAAAGAAAAGGAGACAATACCATCAACGCATGTCATTTGTAACCAGCATGCTTTATATGCAATTGTTGACCAGCTAGGAAGGCAGCTGCAGCTTGCGTGTGTCACACTTGATTGGCAAGTTTTTAATATTCAAACATGAAAAAAAGTAAGACTGCTGCAAACTGCTTACTGACTGGATGGACCTGAAATATATAAGTCTAAAAATTAATGTGGCCTGACGTTGCGAACTTAGCAAGTTCTTCTTCAGAGGCTAAAACAGAAATGACCTCTGTCATTTCTGTTTAAGCCTCTGAAGAAGAACTTGCTAAGTTCGCAACGTCAGGCCACATTAATTTTTAGATTTAATATTCAAACATTTAGTTAAGTGCAGTTTTGAAATAATCGAATACTAAATTATTTGAAAATGGACAGCCCTACAAGCCACACTTTAGTTGTAGCCAGCAGACCAGCAGTTTATAGTTCACAGTATTTCATTATAAGTTCCTCCTAACTGGAGTTGTTTCCTGCTTGGGTTTGTCTGCTTGTGGCGTCATTGGTTTGTAGATCATTGCTGTGCTTTTACAGTCATTGTCCAATAATGTTGTGTGGCTTTTCACTTTTTTCTTGCTGTCCTTTTTTTATACCTTAGTTTTTCTCTTATTCTCCAAAAATTTTATCCAATTGTTTATTATTTTTATCCTTGGCAAAGTTTTATTTTTCTCCTTCGCAAATTCCTTTGAGTTTTTTATTCATTATTTGATCCAAATTGAGATTTCTTTTAAGTATTTTAGAAGACTGCTTCTTTTAACGATACAAATTGGTTTTATGTGTGTGTGAATGATCTCCTTTTTTATCAGACTAAATAAAAAATTTGAGAAGTCTATTTAATTTCCTCGATTCCATTTTTTCCTGGTCCCATTTTCCAGAAGTATATCGCGACATAATAATTTCAACCAGGATTTTTTCTTATTGAGCCATTTTTTGCCGTTACACAAGTATCAAACATCTTGGAGAAAATACAATATTTACAAAATACCAAACATTTAACTAGTCATAACTAGAACAACATTCCATTTCATACCTGAAAACCTAGCTTTCCCACCTCCACTACTTCAAAAAGTTCTGATGAAGGTTGATTGGTCAGTCAGTTGTAAATCCACCCGTGAGAAACACTCTCCTCTGCAAGGCTATCGTGCTGTCTGTGTGGACCACCTGCAGAGGAAGATGTGAGATAGAAACAAAAAGGCATATCAGAGTCAAGTCAACTTGAATTGGATTGAGAACAGTGGGGTCTTAGAATAGTGTTTATCAGACAGGGCTCATAGTGGATCATCAGACCATTTCAGAATTTGAAAACATCTGAAATTACAAAGAAGATTTTTTTTATCCATCAAAAAATAAGACATCAATGTTGTAGTTGCTATCAACAGGACATGCAGACTTGAATTGATCTCAAGAGATTATGGAGACTATAATCGGATGACCACATTTGAAAGCAATTTCTGAGGTGGAACCAGTGGACACTTTCAGGGCATATGCACAATCAGCGAATCATTCATAGTTTGAAAAATATGTTTACAACTTGCAAAACTGTCCTCCAAATACACACGTGTAAATCTTTGTGACAACAGCAGAGAGTCTACTCTCTACCTTGGAAGTCAACTACAATTGCTCCTTGATTTCAAAGCACAAGTGCAAAATCATAGACCTTATTAAACTGGTAGTTCTTGCTAACAATGACTGCGGCAGATCTTGTCTCCTGCGTGTTTCTCAGAGCCCATACTGACTATCAGGAAAGGAAGGAAAGAAAAACAAGAAATTCATGTTTGATATCTGAAGGAAATAAATGATCAGGGCTGAGAATAACAAAAAAAGTATTTTCATTACAAACAGGGGAATTTAAAAAAAAAATGCCAAAATGCATCCCAATACCAATTTTGAGCCATCGATCACGTCAAGAATAATTTTCAAAAGTCAAAATGCATGTAAAAAAGTACAAAATCCGACTTGAGTATGTATTTTAGCTCTGACAAGGACCTCTGAATTGGCAAATGTGCAATCATAATTTCAGCCTTTTCTTAGGTTTATCCGTTCCCTTTGCTGTCTTGAATTGATCATCTTCAGTCAGATGTTTTGCTCACCTTTGATTAGAATGATTCATTGTCACCACAACAAATTCCTCTACAGCCTCTCATCTCCAGTGGGGAGGGGGAGGGGTTTAAACTGCAATAACAAAATAACTTGCAAAACAACATTATCCAGTGGCAAATTGTTGAATTCTGTGACAATTAATCAATTCAAACTGGAAATTGTTTAGTTTTGAAACTGTTCAATTTGCGATTGCCTTTTGAAACAAACTGACCTGACAAAATCAATTTTAAACTGTCCCAAGCAAAGCATCAAAAGCCATTAATTTAGAATGCACTTCAAAGTACAGAATTTGATTTGTTCACAGACAAATGTCCAATTGTAATTTCAGCCATTTTGAAGATGTTTCTCCATTCCTTTTGCTGTCTATAATGGATCAGTTGCAATCAAATGCTCACCTTGGATTGGACGATTGGATTCCCCTGAAGTTGTTGGTTCATCGCTACTTTCCCTCATGGGCGTCGCCAGGATTTTTTCTAGTGGGGGGCAAAAAATTGTTTTGCCAAAAAATGCTTGTATTTCTCAACACATTCTCGATTTTATCAGTTTCAGAGGGGGGGGGGGGCAGTGACATTTCCCCCCCCCCAAACTCATTAAATTTACACCACTTTGTCTTCGCGCCTCTTTTTCTTATTCTTTCTTCCTTTTTGTTTTTGCTTTTTTGGGGGGGGGGGAGCAAGTGCCCCCCCCCTCGCGACGCCCATGCTTTCCCTCTTCTCTCCAGTAAGCTTCTCATCCATGGTAGGTTGTACCTTGCAGTGTAATCAAAAACAAAACAAAATAATCATTCAAGTTTTCAAGGTACATTTTTTACACAAATCTTGTCCAAAAATTTCGTATTTCCAATGTTGTTTTGTTGATTAGAAACACAAAAGCAATTTCAATTGTTTTGTGTTTTACTGTTTTGTTCTCTTTAGTGTGCCCAGAATTTTAAAGCTAGATTCAGAATGTCGAGTTAAAACTGGAGTGAAATTTTGAGAGGTGGAATCAATTTCAATTTCAACAAAAGGCCTTTGTTTAGCTACTCTGAATTCCAGTCAGAAAAAGAGGAGGCAAATGTTTTCCATTGTTAAAAAGGTTTTAAAATCTTTCCCCCGAAAAACTATTAGTTTGCTTGATGGACAATTAATTCAAGAAACAAATGGAACTATTGTTTGGTCAGAATTGAAGTCTATTTTGACTGATCAGCAATAATTTTGATGTTTGTTGAGAATTATTTTTCAAAAGTTGCATAATTTCAAATTTGACGAGTAATTCCTTCTTAAAATCTTACCTTAATGTTTTTAGATGTAAACCTTCTGGAAGCACATCCTGGTAAGATTAGTTTAAACAGGGCCACCACGTGAAGGTCCCAGGATACCAGCCCCAAACACGCTTTCAGTATCGTCAGGTCCATTGCTGTGCAAAAGGCCGGCCCCGGAGGGCCATGCACAGTTGCCGACTGTCCGGTACACCCCCCCCCCCAACCCTGAAGGATCAGGAGAGTACCCTAACCTATATGCGTGCCCCCCTCAGTCCATCCCCCATTACAGGTTCATGGGTTCTGAGGAAGTAGCAGCGTTTGCCGGCTGTGAATACGGGGCCACGCCCCTATAAAGAGGGACGCACTACCTACTCCTTTATGCAGGGGTGTGAGTGACCACTGATCAAAATAGCTGAAAACAGCTGAAAAAGGTGTAAAAAAGCTGAACTTTGGAAAATTCCTATACTTTTGTGCACAGCAAGTGAGGGAGAAAAGCTGAAATCTAAAACAAAGAAAGCTAAAATCAGCTTTAAAGCTGAGATTTCACACCCCTGTTTATGGCACGGCATCCTAGGGTTTCCAGGCCGCTGCGTAGGACCCACGTCCCCTCGTGAAAGGCGGACCTTCCACGCGGACGCAACCCGCCCCTTGGAACTGGGTTTGCCTCGCACCTCAATCGGGCACCAGTCCAACCCCGATTAACTGGGTTTACCCCGCACCTCAACCGCGCACCAGTTCAACTCCGATTAACTGGGTTTACCCCGCAACTCAACCGGGCACCAGTCCAACTCCGACGACCTGTGGAGAAACCACCACCTACACCCCACACAAACCACCACCTACACCCAACACAATACGAAGCACACACCCACCACCAACCAGTACATCACAAACACATATTTCAACCACCCTGGACATTCTTATTGTTTAAGTAAAACATTAATCAAAATGTTGTCCAATTAAAAAAATAACAGCGTTGCTGTTGAAACCCCTCAGCCAGAGTCAAGTTATCATGCGGAAACCATTAATCTTTAACTCAACATGGTGACCTTGACCTTTGGCCTTTGACCCCAGAACCAGTCCCAACATGCCTGTATCAATGGGAAGCCCCCTACCGAAGTTACACACCAAAATTTCATTTCTAACTCAAGTTATCATTCGGAAAAATTTACATTTAACTCACCATGGTGACCTTGACCTTTGACCCCAAAACCAATCCCAACTTGCCTGTACCCAAGGGCAACCCCCTACCTGAGTCAGACACCAAAATCTCATTTCTAACTCAAGTATCATCCGGAAACCATTTACATTTAACTCACCACGGTGACCTTGACCTTTGACCCCAAAATCAATCCCAACTTGCCTACTCCCAAGGGCAACCCTCTAGTTAGACACCAAAATCTCATTTCTAACTCAAGTTATCATCCGGAAACCATTTACATTTAACTCACCACGGTGACCTTGACCTTTGACCTTTTGACCCCAAAACCAATCCCAACTTGCCTACTCCCAAGGGCAACCCCCTACCAAAGTTAGACATCAAAATCTCATTTCTAACTCAAGTTATCATCCGGAAACCATTTACCTATAACTCACCATGGTGACCTTGACCTTTGACATTTTGACCCAAAAACCAATCCCGACTTGCCTACTCCCAAGGGCAACCCCCTACCATAGTTAGACATCGAAATCTCATTTCTAAGTCAAGTTATCATCTGGAAACCATTTACCTTAAACTCACCATGGTGACCTTGACCTTTGACCTTTTGACCCCAAAACCAATCCCAAATTGCCTACTCCCAAGGGCAACCCTTTACCAAAGCTAGACACCAAAATCTCATTTCTAACTCAAGTTATCATCTGGAAACCATTTACCTTTAACTCACCACGGTGACCTTGACCTTTGACTTTTGACCTCAAAACCAATCCCAACTTGCCTACTCCCAAGGGCAACCCCTACCGAAGTTACAACCCCAAACATTTCTAACTCAAGTTATCATCTGGAAACGAAGCTGCCCGGACGGACAGACGCACTTACATACAGACGGGCGTACCTCCCAGATGGACTTCCGGGGTACCTCCATTGTTGTCCCATTGTCCCTATTTCTAAAGATTTCACTTGCGGGGTACCCTATTTTCTAAAGATTTCACTTGCGGGGTACCTCGAACAAAGGACAGGTACCCCACAAGTGGTCCCTGGTCAGAACGGACGGACGGACGCCCTAGGCGATGACAATACCGCTTGAGCCTCTCGGCTGAGGGGCAAAAACAATAAAGTAATTTTTAAAAATTTGGGCTGATAAATGATTTGAATGTTTTCTCCCAATTTTCCTTTATTTCAACAAAATCCTGACAAACAAATTGACTTTTGTGCTTATTTCCAAAACATCGTTTAAACTGAAATTTTTCCAGGATGGTTCAAGTAACATAAACATGTACAAGCAAATTTGAGGGTTTTTATTGAGATATTTGATTACAAAATTGCTAAAAACTGCTGCGCTAATTGGTTCACATAACATAATAATGAACTGCAGTTGCTTCAACTTTATAGAATCAGGATAGATTCAAATTTGCTTGCACATGAAAAATACAAGAATCGTGGTTTGACTTACTCTGAACAAAACGAGCGACTCCACTTGCAAACTGTCACAATCCTGGGGAACAAGTGCATGTGGCCTTGAGCTGCGAAGAAAATGGTTACCTCACCTGAGTTAACATGCAACCTTGTTCCCCTGTGCCGATGATTCCGAACAATCCAATGAATGACTCCACTTGCAAACTGCCACAATCCAAGGGGGGGGGGGGAACAAGTGCATGTGGCCCTGCAAAGAAAATGGTTACCTCACCTCAGTTTACATGCAACCTTGTCCCCCTGTGCCAATAATTCCGAGCAATCTATCGAACGACTCCACTTGCAAACTGTACACTTTCACAATCCGGGGGTCTCTTGTGCATGTTCACATCTGCAGGAAATTAATGCATTATAAATTAATGTTCATTTAATTTGAAGTATTTTCCTTGTATTGCCTTTGGTCAAATAATGAAAAGCTGAAATTTATAAAATACCAAATTTGTAATATCTGCCATTTTTACACTCTAAAAACAGATTGGTTAATATAACCAATCATTAACCAATCGATTTTAATCATGCGCGTCAATCCTTTTTTTCCCCCAAATTTTCCGCGGTAGCTCCAACAGAAGCCATTATTGCCCCACCTCCTCAAATTTTTGTACCAAGGAGCACCAGGGAATGGGAAATTGCACCAAGACAAATGATCGAGGGGTCCAAGGCAAATTATGGAGGACACCAATGTACATGAGGACACCAACAAATGCAAAAATAGTACCCCACCTTGTCTGTACAATCCAAGCTTGAAAAAAAAAAAAAGAAGAAAAACAAAAAAGCCGCGTTGCCGCATCAATTCCAGAACTTTGGTCTGATCAGAGACCAAGTATTTTTTTTTTTTGGCCTTAACAATGATTTTTTTTTTTGGGGGGGGGGTTACCTCCGAGGTTTTTGAGTGATAAAGGCATCCACAAGTAGTGAGGATGGCGAATTCCACTTCTCCCAACATCAGAAAGTCACCAGAAAGTCACCAGAATCATTCCACTTGTCCCAACATCAGAAAGTCACCAGAATTCCACGTCTCCCACACCAGAATAGGCAGTGTTCCTCAAAGTTCCAGTTGGTCCTTCCAAACAAGCATCGTCCTTCCAAACAAGCATCGTCCTTCCAAACAAGCATCGTCCTTCCAAACAAGCATCGTTCCTCCAAACAAGCATCGTCCTTCCAAACAAGCATCGTCCTTCCAAACAAGCATCGTCCTTCCAAACAAGCATCGTCCTTCCAAACACGCATTGTCCTTCCAAACACACATCGTCCTTCCAAACAGGCATCGTCCTTCCAAACAGGCATCGTCCTTCCAAACAAGCATCGTCCTTCCAAACAAGCATCGTCCTTCCAAACAAGCATCGTCCTTCCAAACACGCATCGTCCTTCCAAACAAGCATCGTCGTTCCAAAACACGCATCGTCCTTCCAAACAGGCATCGTCCTTCCAAACAAGCATTGTCCTTCCAAACACGCATCGTCCTTCCAAAACACGCATCGTCCTTCCAAACACGCATCGTCCTTCCAAACAAGCATCGTCCTTCCAAACACGCATCGTCCTTCCAAACATGCATCGTCCTTCCAAACAAGTGTCCAAACAAACTTCCAATATTGCATGGAGTTCAAGGTAGGCATGTTCTTCAGTTGTGCTTCCAACGATTGTATCAAGTTATGTAGCAGTTTGCAACGAGTCCGCACTGGAGAAACGCCATACTCAACAAAACAGTCATGTCCATCCTTTGTTCCAAACTGGTCAGATGTGCAGCAGTATTGCCTGCACTGTTAATGTCCAAAGTTCATCCAGGGGCGACTTATAATTGGAGGCGATTTTCAGAGTTTCTCCATAATGACTCTCACATTTTACTGCTCTGTACTGAACATTGTCCCAAGTATGTCAAAGGGCCAACTTGAATAAATGTCATACAAAATGTACTTCATGTGGTTATAACAAAAAATACATGTGAGCTAACTTAGTTTGTAATTGTAGTTTAAAATAAAATTCTTTCAGGTTCACTAAGTAATCCTTTTAAACACTTCATTTTATGAATGTAGTTTTTAAATTGCATTTTTTGTTTTACATGTAACACATCCTTAACTATTTAGCTAATTCAACTAATTGCAATTTTATTTTTATTTTCATTTTTAACATTATGATTTTTTTTCATAATCTCCCTTCATTAGAACATATAGTTGGAAATTTTTAATTGTCCTTTTTAATTAGTTGACTCAAATTGTTTGCTTTTTAATATTATTTTGTAAATGCTATGAACTGCTTTTACTGGCAATCCAGCTTTGAAAAACAAAGAAGAAAATGCGCTAGTGAACTCAAGTTCCCAAGAAGCGTGGAATATTTGCCCAGTCCTTGCAACATTTTGTCAGGTCTGGTTAGTGGTTAATTAGGTGGTTTATGTCATCAGTGCCAGTGGTTAATATGACTGTCCGTCTATGGATGCATGCAGATGATTGAATGACCTAACAAACGCTGCAAGGGTCCACAGTTTTACACAGAACAGTGGAAACAAAAATGACTTTGGCATACTTGAATGCTACCACATTGTA